CATTTATAGATTCTAGATCTGATTCTATTTTGGACAATAATTCATTAAATATCAAATTCTTGTTGGACTTGCGTCAACGTCACGATGCTCATTCGGAAAGAAACCTTGAACAAATTAAGTTTTCTTCTAAAAATAATAATGAAAGAAATGTTCTAAATAAGTTTAATATAAATAAGGCTAGCAGTCTAGTGTCACATTTGATAAAGAAAAAATAGATAGAGATCAGGTAGAAATACTAGTAATAATGTATCTGAGAAAAGTCATTCAGGTAATTTATTTATTGTTAGGGATGATGCTGAAATTTGAACTTATTTTAATACATTTTATTTATTTTTTAATTATAATTTTTTTAGAGCACTGTTTATGCAACAACATAGCTCTTTTTCCATTACAAATTAGATCTTTTATAATAGCTAAATTTGATAACATGTTGTGTATTGCTCAAGTTATTGCTATGTATGAACAAGATAATTTATTTCATTTATATATTGACACATCTGTTTCAGATCTTGAATCTCTTTCTTATATATCTTTAAAAATTTTTTTTCACATTAATGGTGCAGTTTTTTCAACAACTCGTGATCATCAATTTTATATTTTTTCTCATCCTGAAGGTTCATATATTGTTCATCATTTGGCTTCTAAAGATATTAATATTGATAAGGAAGTATTAATTCTTAAAAGACAGGCAAAAAAAATGTTTAATATATTTAAGAAATAATATAGTAATACTTTTTAATAATTAGTATATTTTTTTGCAGATTAGTTGAATTTAGAAATCTATATTTAGATTACTAATACAAATAATTTTTCAATTATGCAATGGTAATAAGACTTTGTCATAAAATGTTTGTGTGATAATGAAAAATTTTACTTATAAAGATGCTATATACCAAAGTTTTACTTTGATATAGATACAAAACTAGTGAATTTTCTTAAGTGTATTTATTTATTATTTATTTATTTATTTATTTATTTTATTTATTTATTTATTATTGCATTTTTTAATTCAAAGGTAACTGAGACTTACCTGGATTGGATTAAAATTATAGTGTCGTGGTCTATTTATTGAGATGACAAGTAAGTAAAGGTCTTTACTAATAAAATAATTCTTATGGCTATGTAAACTATTTGATT